CCCCCCCCCCCAAGAAAAAACATCAAAATTTCTTTTAAAAGTGTGGTGTATCTTGTCTTGCTCTGTCATCCTTTTGCTCCTCGTTCAGCTTGGTTACACCAGCCTTGTGTCACTTGCTGTCATTTCTTTGTCTTCCTTTGGCACACTTGTCTTTGCAATATTCCTAACACACTTCTCTGCGCATTTGTGTTATGTTGCATGTTTCAGACAGGTGCAAGCTGCATCTGTCCTTGGTTGTGTTTGCTGCACCCACGTTTAAAGCTAAACATAGCTGTTCCCCCGGCTGTTTGCTGACTACGTGCATACTAGTAGAGATAGGTATTGTGTCCTTGTTTGAGCGTTTGACTATCTAGGGTTTACCCTTTATGGACTTAAAAATGCACTGCATTTGTACAAGTGCTTGTTTCAGTAAGTTGCATTCTCTTTGTGTACCCTTCTATAACTTTGCTTGTCACTTGAGTTAGTTTAGGTCCAGCATTTTATATTTGTTCCTACTAGAAACGCAAAATCGGTTGATGTTACTGGTTTTGTTTTATGTGGTATTGATTTTATTCTTAGCCTGTGCTTTAAAAGATAAACTAATGCTGGTGCTTTTTTTTCCCCCCGATCTGTAGGTTTCTAGCAACAAACTCGCAATGAAGGACCACCCTCTGACTGGAAGTCAGGTCAAGGTGGAGCAGTTATTTGAGGACTCTGGCAACAGAAGGAGTAGCACTCTTCAGTCTGCAGGCATCGTGGGTTCAGAAAGATCTCTTCCTTCCCTGACAAAAGATAAAAGTATAGAGAGTATAAGCACTTCTAAAGGTGGTGGTAGTTCCTCAAAAGCACATAAAGCCGTTTCCCAGGCTCCAGAGCAAGCTGTCAAACAGTATAAACATCAGCTATCTGCTTATGAGCAGCAAGAGATACTTACTTTTTCTGAAATTTACTTTGTGGGTCCAGCTGCAAAAAAGAGGCAAGGAGTAATTGGTGGTCCCAACAATGGGGGTTATGATGACGACCAAGGCAGCTACATTCACGTGCCCCATGACCATCTTGCTTACCGGTACGAAGTACTCAAAATCATTGGCAAGGGCAGTTTTGGACAAGTTGCTAAAGTCTATGATCACAAACTCCACCAACACTTAGCCTTAAAGATGGTTCGCAATGAAAAGAGATTCCATCGCCAAGCAGCAGAAGAAATCCGGATTCTGGAACATCTGAAGAAGCAGGATAAAACGGGCAGTATGAATGTTATTCACATGCTGGAAAGCTTCACCTTTCGGAACCACATCTGTATGACCTTTGAACTCTTGAGTATGAACCTGTATGAGCTGATTAAAAGAAACAAGTTTCAGGGCTTCAGTATCCAACTGGTACGTAAGTTTGCTCACTCTATCCTGCAGTGTCTGGATGCTCTGTATAAAAACAAAATCATACACTGTGACTTGAAGCCAGAAAATATTCTCCTAAAACAGCAAGGGAGGAGTGGAATCAAGGTTATAGATTTTGGGTCCAGCTGTTTTGAGCACCAAAGAGTCTACACATATATTCAGTCTCGATTTTATCGGGCACCGGAGGTAATTCTGGGAAGTCGCTATGGGATGCCCATAGACATGTGGAGTTTTGGCTGTATTCTGGTGGAGCTATTGACTGGATACCCTCTTTTCCCTGGAGAGGATGAGGGAGACCAACTGGCTTGTATGATGGAGCTTCTCGGAATGCCACCTCAAAAGCTTTTGGAGCAATCCAAGCGAGCCAAGAACTTCATCAACTCTAAGGGTCATCCTCGCTACTGCACTGTAACTACACATGCAGATGGAAGAGTGACCCTTAATGGGAGTCGATCCCGCCGGGGTAAAATACGAGGTGCTCCAGGGAACAAAGACTGGGTGACGGCACTGAAAGGCTGTGATGATCCCTTGTTTATAGAGTTCTTAAAAGAATGTCTCAGCTGGGATCCTTCCACACGCATGACTCCGAGTCAAGCTTTAAGGCACCCTTGGATTTGTAAACGAACGCCCAAACCACCCAGCACTGATAAAACCTCCAATAAACGGATTTCTAGCTATACAAGTTCTTTCACAGGCATAGGTTCCAAGTTGCCTCCTGTAGTTGGAGTAGCGAACAAGCTGAGGGCTAATTTAACATCCGACTCCAATGGCAGTATACCTCTATGTACTGTGCTACCCAAACTGGTCAGCTAATAGAGAATAATGTATTTCCAGAATACATACCTTGTATTTTAATTGTTTGTTAATAATGTGTAAGGAGGTTAAATGCAGAGTTTTTTAATGGATTTACTTTTTATTAGAGGCTAAATCTTGAATATAAAAATTTCGGTCAAAATGTACACATTTAAAGGGCTAACTTTAATCAAATTGTTTCACTCACAACATGGTGCATATTACAGTACTGGGTAGATCAGCTCAGCTGTTGAGTAAAATGCAGTTTGGCAGATGTGCTATTTAATAATGCTGTTTTAGATATCAAACTGTTTCTTATCAGGACGGTTTAACAGATTCTTTTGCTTAAGACAGCAAGGGAAATTGATTTAAAATACATATTTTCAGTTAATCTCCAACTGAACTCTTTTTATTCTGGGGAGAGTTTTTACATCTGTTGTCAAAAGCACAAGTGTGTTAATGTAACGCATTAGGAACTTACTTGCAAAATTGCTAACTTATGTTTGAAGAATTCGCTTTCTCTGCGCTGCTTTTCCCTTATCTATCCTGACTGAGATTTTTAAAACTACCGTGGGATGTAGACACCAAAGAAATTTGGTGTTGAATTTTTATCTTCTGAATTTTATTTTTTTTTTCCCAAAGGAACGTAGAAACGCCATGGAACGCAGGTTATATCTAAATAAAACTACTAACTTCTGTACACTTGCTATTTCCCTTCAAAGTCTATGGAAAGCTGGTAGGGGAATTCGAGATCAGAATTGGTCCATTGTAAGTGTGGGGCAGTTTGTTCAGGGCTAATGAGTCAATTTTATGTTTCTTTGAAGCTCAAATTTAAGGGGGGGGGGGAGGGGGGCACACATAATAACAGGAAGTGTGTTCTGAAATCTACGCGTAATCTGTGAAATATCGGGAAAGACATCCGATGCAAAAAACTGGTGGAGCCAAATCAAAATATGTTACGGGAAGAATTGCTTTATTTCTGATTGAATTCCTTCAGGTCTTTGTGAGAGAGATGCCTATGTTTTCTCATTCTTAAAATACATGAGTGTGTATTTCCTCTCCTTTATCTTCCAAGAACATGAAAAGGTGGTGTGACCTGTAATGACAACAGCACAACTCGTTTGGGTTGTTACTTCTTGCAGCCACATGGCCCGAGTCCATTTACAAAACCATCTGATCTCTTGCCAGGTGCCTGAACACAATTTTAAATGCAATTTAGGGCTTTTATGAACAGAAGGTTTTAAATTTAATGAGTTTCTCTGTAGCAGGTTTTTAATGCTCAAACAAGGAGACTCTCAGTATACAAACAAAGGAATTATCAGGGTGCTTTTTAAGATAAGGTCACCCCATGTTCAATACAAGACCCTCCCTCGGAGAAGATGGGGCTGCGTTTTCTCCTCTGCTCTGTTTAATTACAGCACTGGTGACATGCTGGGTGGAGGCCTGTATAAAAAAGTCCAAACGACAGAGCCAAAGCTCCAAACTTTCCAGGACTGTTGTTTAAACTGAAGTTCTCGTGTATGTAGCTTTTCTGAGTTCATTTGTTTTACAAGTGTAAATTCAATAAGTTTAGTAATAATATTAAAATAACAGTCTAGCCTTTATCTGTGCGGCTACAAGCAATACCAGCGCATAGGGTATGTTCGTGGTTCACTTCATAATAATGCATGACTGGTATTTTTTATTTGGTTTGGCTGGGAGAAGCTTTATTTGAGTGGAGAATCAGGGAAGTGGATTTTTGGGGGAAGTGGCAGAAGATACCATGGATTTTAGTAGAATCTCTAATAGATGCGACGTGGTTTCAGAAGCCAGAAATATTCTTCTTCCTCCTCTGCCCTTTCCTCTATGCTTTTTTTTTTATAAAAAACCCCCACAAACGTACCTGGTGGGTGAGGAGAAAGCAACCCCTCAGGAGCAATAGCTTGTTAGGAAAGATGCATAGAAAAACACTTTATAGAGAGACTGTAGGGGGGTGGTGGTGTCCGGTGCCCGGCAGAAGCCAGTAGAGAGTTGGTGTGGTAGGAGGTGTACAAACAGGTCTTCTCCTAGGAACACAGGGCAGTATCCTGGTTCTAAACCATTTTCGTCTATGAAATGACAAATGTAGAATAATTGTTCTCCTGTGACACCTCATCGCGACCAGTTCCCAGGTAACTTCTGAGGTAACAGCCTCTGGTGTACACACGGTAATCTCACTTAAGGCTGGTGCTGTAAAACTGCAGGGAAAGTAATTAGCAGGCAAGAACATTGCTTTTCATTTAGGAAATGCGTTCAGCATGCCCTGACTGCACAAGGTGCCCGTTATGAGTTGTGTATGTTTAAGACTGGATCTTGCTTACTTGGGACTACTGTATTTTAAAACCAAGTGCATAGTTAACTGTCCTGCTAACATGGGGCTCTTATAGCCATAGTAGGTGAGGAGGAAAGGAAACAGCCTCAGAAGATTTTTACTGTATTGCAAAGGACTTCTTCATACCCAGGGAATACAGCTGAGAATATGTTGGTCTTGTTTCCAATTACTAAGCCCCATTTTCATTATCAGATGTTTGCTTTCAGTGACTAGTGTGACACAGTATTCCCAAACTGGGAGAGCCATCCAGGTGAACTAATAAATCGCGTGTCTGGGAGAGCTGAGGAATCATCCCTGCAAACTCTTGTTGAGTTCCCTGTGAATTAGTGCAGGACTTGCCCACAGCCACGCGTGGAGCTTGGACCACGGGCTGCGGCGTTGCATGGTGTCATGTGTAACGGGACGGTCACAGTCGCTGTCTTCACTGCGATAACAGTTGAGTCCCAAATTTACTCTTTGTTTTTTGGAAACCTAAACACTAGTGAGGTCTGAAATTGCCAGAAGTCCATTATTTTCATTAGCAGTGATACTGGTTAGAATGTTAGCAGTAGTCTAAAACTCAATTTGTCTAAATAGGTTAACAGAACAGCTTTTGTTTTCGTGGTAATTCTTTGCAAGTTTGTTAGTCTGCCAGCAGTAGTGAAGCTGCACTGGAGCTTCAGTCACGTCCTTGTAGGAAGTTAGCACAAGACAAAGGCAGATCGCTTGGGTTTACAGCAAAACAGACATCGCATTTATAAAAGTCACCGAAACTTGTTTAAAGTTCCCTCTGTTTTACTACACTGTTAGTCTCTGTGTTGTACGTAACATGCTCTGTTTATTGTCTGCATTTTTAGCAGTTTGGTTTAGCAATATTTTTATAGAAACGAATAAGGCATGAGCATCCCACCTGACAGACACACATCGCTTTTACACCAGGGTCCAAATCTTATCTGCCTGTCCAAGTTGCAAGGAGAAACTTGTTTTCATTTGAACCCAGTGGGACAGTGAAGTATTCTTAACGGCGGAACACGGTACCACAGACAGACAGACACCCACGCTGCCTTTAGTTCCTGACAGGTTTGATCTTACTAATGCCAACTGCTGAATGTGAACGTTTGTTTCGTAACAGCGACCTGATTTTAGAGATTCTCCGTGTACAACAGGTACTCTTCGACAGAGTTTTTTATCCTTCCCACCCAGCTTGGGTAGGGACTCCAGCTGTCTGGTGACCTAAGAACGCAGAACAGACTAACTGGGAAGCTTTAAGGTGACTTTTGTGGAAGAATGGCTGCGTTGCTCAATCTGAAATTGTTTACAACCGTTGTGACCTGTTAGGACTTTCATGCAGCTGAAAACTTTTTAAGCAGCAATTTATCAGTAGCGGTTCTTTGCCATGGTCATCCTCTTGGAAACTACCTCCGAAATAAACCTAGGGTCCTTTTTAAAGGGATCGTCAGTGCAGACTACAGCTCTTTTTTTTTTTTTTTTTCTTGTTTAATACTAATAGCTGTTTTGGCTGTGAAACATATACATGATGATCTCAGCAATGTCTTGCTAATCCTGGCCATACAGGCAAAAAGGCTGATTCTGCACCCAGAGATCTCTGCTGAAGTGACTGATACAAATCCCCTGCCTGCCAGAGTTTGGTACTGCTGGGGAAATGGAGAGCCAAAATCCTACGGAAAGCTCTGCGGAGCTCCTCTGCAGTGCCCGGCTGAGATTCAAAACAAACTGGGCTGAGAGACTTTTTCTTAACGAAAAATCCTGCAGCTTCGGTTGCGTTGAGCGCTCGGAGGTGGGGGTATCTGGCAGCTTTGAAAATTGGACACCATGGTTTTATACTTGGTACTCATCACAGATACCACTTGATTATTTTTTTTTATTAATTCAATAAGGGTTTGGGGAAATACACGCTTCATACTTCCCATAGAAGAGCCCTTATGTGTTCCAAAACTCCACTGCTCTCTTGCCGTTTTTTAACTCCCCCTGCAACACGTAAACCCCTTGGGTCATCGGAGCAGCCTCGGATAGGTGAACGTCATCCCTGTGCTGGGCGGGTGCAGTGACTTTAATCCAAACACAGTTCTTGCAGTCGGGTAACTGGGTGGGTTAAGTCTGTGTTGCTAAAAGGATCACCCCTGTTCCCTGTACGTAGGACTGTGCCTTATTATTTTACCAGCCGACATCTGTCTGGGTGCAATCAAATTACCGTTCAGGGTTTCTTATACGTTGCAGATGTTCATACGAAATGTCAGTGTGTAAAGAATTTACAGGTTAGCCTTTTTATTATAAATATTGTGATGAGGTGTAATATGGTGGAGAATGTAGAAAACATTTAAGGTGCATGTGACTATAACTCTGTGAAGGGACACTTTGGAAATAAGTCAGTCTCCAACTATGTATCTAAATGTAATGAACAGGTATTTCCTAAAGTTGTATTTCAGTTCATTTTTAAAAGAAAATAAATACATAATTTTCTGTAGCAACAGACTGTGCAAATTCCTAAAAGAGGTGCTTGATTAAAAAAAAAAACAAACAAAAAACAAAACCCAAGCCAGTGTTAATTATTTAATTATTTGCAGATGGGGTAACTCACCTTGTGTTGCCAGACACCAGACACTGCCTTCTGTGGCATCTCACTAGAGACGAGTAGAAAATTTTCAGACTCTATGTGAACAGATGATTTCAG